GTTAGTTCTTCTTTAAATGTCTGGTAGAATTCAGCAGTGAATCCATCTGGACCTGGGCTTTTCTTTGTTGGGAGGGCCTTTATTACTGATTGAATTTCTGTCTCATTTGTGGGTCTGTTTAGGTTTTCTATGACTTCATGGTTCAAATTAGGTAGGTTGTATGTAATCAGGAATCTATCCATTTCTGATAGATTTCCCTGTTTGCTGGCATACAAGTCATTGTAGTAATTTCTGATGACTTTTTATTTCTGTTGTTACATTCCCTTTTTCATCTCTGATTTTATTGATTTGGGTCTTCTCTCTCCTTTTTTAGTTAGTTGGTCCAATGGGGTGTCAATTTTATTTATTTTTTCAAAAGAACTAGCTCTTCATTTTGCTGATCTTTTGTATTTTTTTTTTTTGGATTCAATCCTGTTGATTTCTTCTGTAATTTTAATTATTTCTCTTCTCCTCCTAGTGTTGGGTCTGGTTTGCTACCGTTTTTCTAGATCCTTGGGACTCACTGAAAGTTAATTTATTTGGTGCTTTTCCAAGTGTAGCATGAAAGTTCTATAGATATCTGTTAGATCTATTTGGGCTCTAGTGTTGATTAAATCCGTTTCCTTGATGATCTTCTGTCTAGTTGAACTGTCTATTTCTGAAAGTGGAGTATTGAAGTCCCCCAGTACTATTGTATTGGAGTCTAAGTCTCCCTTTAAGTTCCTTAACATATCTTTTAAATGAACTGGTGCCCTGTAATTAGGTGCATATACGTTTATAATAGTTACATCTTCCTGCTGAATTGATCCCTTAATCATTGTATAGTGCCCCTCTTTGTCTCTCTTAACAGTTTTGTGCTAAAGTTTATTTTGTCTGATATTAAGATGGCCACTCCAGCTCTTTTTTGGTTTCTATTGGCATGGAATATCTTTTTCCTACCTTTTACTTTCAGTCTGCATGCATCTTTGTTGGAAAGATGTGTTTCTTGTAAGCAGCAAACGGATGGGTTTTGTTTTTTAATCCATTCAGCCAGTCTATGCTTTTTAACTGGAGAGTTGAGGCCATTTACTTTCACTGTGACTATTGATAAGTAGAGACTTTGCCCTGCCATTTTCCCAAAGGTATTTCTAATATATCCTTTGAACTTCCTGTGATCTTTTACTGGGAGATTTTCTTCCTTTTCCTTCTTTCGTATTGCTGGCAATGTTTCTATGTTTCTGTGTGTAAACATCTTTTATTTTTGAAAGGTGGAGTTATACAATAAGAGAGAGAGAGACAGAGAAAGGTCTTCCTTCCATTGGTTCACCCCCCAAATGGCCACTACGGCCGGCTCACTGCACCAATCCAAAGCCAGGAACAAGGTTCTTCCTCCTGGTCTCCCATGCGGGTACAGGGCCCAAGCACTTTGACCATCCTCCACTGCCCTCCCTTGCCACATAGAGAGCTTGACTGGAAGAGGAGCTACTGGGACAGAATCCAGCAACCCAACCAGCACTAGAACCTGGGGTGCAGGCACTGCAGGCAGAGGATTAGCCTAGTGAGCCGCGACACCAGCCAACACATCTTTAAGCGTCTTTTGCAGGGCTGGACGAGTGGTGACAAATTCTTTCAATTTGTTTTTGCTATGAAAAGTCTTTATTTCACCTTCATTCACAAATGAGATCTTTGCTGGATATAATATTCTTGGCTGGCAATTGTTTTCTCTTAGTACTTGCGCTATATCTCACCATTCCCTCCTAGCCTGTAGGGTTTCTGATGAGAAGTCTTCTGTGAGTTTAATTGGAGATCCTCTGAGAGCAATCTGCTGTTTCTCTCTTGCACATTTTAGAATCTTTATATTTCACTGTGGTGAGTTTGATTACAATGTGTTGTGGCGAGGATCTCTTTTGGTCCTGTTTATTAGGGGTTCTATGTGCTTCCTGTACTTGGATGTCTCTTTCCCTCTCCAAACCCGGGAAGTTTTCTGCTAATATATCACTAAAAAAGCCTTCTAATCCTTTTACTCTCTCCATGCCTTCAGGAACTCCTAGAACCCAAATGTTGTTTTTTTAATAGTATCCTCTATATTCCCAACAATATTTTTCAGATTTCTAATTTCCTCCTCTTGTCTTTGGTTTGACTGTATACTTTCCTGTGCTCTGTCTTCTAAGTCTGATATTCTGTCTTCTATCCCACTGATTCTGTTTTTAAGGCTCTCAAATGTGTTTTTCCTTTGTTCTGTTGAATTCTTCATTTCATTTTGATTTCTCTTCAATATCTCAATTTCATGTTCTACTAAATTCCTCATTTCATTTTGATTCCTCCTTAAGATTTCATTTTCACAAGAGAGATTTTCTATCCTGTCCAGTAAGGATTTCTGTAGTTCAAGAATTTGTTTTTGAGAACTTCTAAATGTTCTTATCATAAATTTTTTGAAATCTGTATCTTGCATTTCTTCTATCTCATCATCTTCATAATCTTGTATTGGAGTGTCATGTTCATTTTGGTGATGTCATAATGTCTTCCTTGTTCTTGTTTCCTTGGTTTCTGCGTTTGTTGTTTGGCATTGTGGAGATATTCTTTGATTTCTTTTTTTTTCTTGCTGTTGTGGTTTTCTCATTATACTATGACTCTAGATTGAGGGGACTGTCTGCTTTTGGTGAATCTCTAGAGGCTTGTGGTGGGTGTGGCCAGAGAGCTCTGTTCAGTTCTTCAGGGTTAAGGGTGTGCCAAAGGTGACACACCCAGGTTTGGTTTGGTAAATCTTCTCTCTCTCTCTTTTTTTTATTCAGAAGGGAGGTAATTTCGCTCAGCTGAGCTCTTCTTCTCGATGGCAATCAGTGCCTGAGCACTAGCCCCAGTGGGTATAATATTCATCTGCTCAGTCCCAAGGACCACACAAAGGATCTGTGCAGTCCTCAGTGTAAGCTCAGATTCCCCTGCAATGTCTCTCACCGCGTAGCCAAAGCCGACCACATTGGTGGCATCTCCCACCAAGACTACTCACATCTCAGCCACACCGTGAGTTCTCCCACACACCCTCAGTTTTGTTTTTTTTTTTCCACAGTTCCGGTTCATAAGCTCCACACACTAGGTCTGAATCTCCTGTTATTTCTCCCCACCATTGTCAGGTTTTTCTGCTTGGCTGAGGGCAGCTGTTGTGTGTGTCCAAAATGGCACTTGCTCTATTTTCTTCCCTGCCTTTGTAAGGTGAGTGGAGAGAGAGAATCATGTCTGTACCGGTCCTTTGTATTTTTTTTTTCTCTCTCTAGTTATGCTCGTGTCCTTTCCCCCACTGGGCTTCAAGCCTTGTTCCCTCTAGTCTCTTCCTGCCACTTTTCTAACAGTGTCTCAGGCTACTGCCATTTCACTTCACCTCCGTTTCCAGTGCTGGTGCATAGACTCGGCAGTTTGGGGTCCTGAGCCATGAGCGCCCGTGCCCTCCACATAGGTCCATAATGTCCCACTAATTCTGGAAGAGTTTCCTCTGCAGTTTTTTTCCTAATTCTTCCCTGAGACTACACTATTTCCACTTTTATTAAACTATCTTTTCCTGGAATATCAGTGAGCTCCCTCCCTATTCCCCCATCATGGAGTCCTTCCTAGGATTGTTTTTTCTAAATCTGAGAAGAATGTCTTTGGTATTTTCATTGGGATTGCATGGAATCTGTAAATTGTTGTCAGTAGTATGGACATGTTGATGGTATTAATTCTTCCAATCCATAAATATGAAGATTCTTCCATTTTTCTATGTCTTCTATTTTTTCTTAATGTTTTATAATTTTTAGTATAAAGATTTGTCATATCCTTAGTAAAATTTATTTCTAGGTATTGATCTTTTTTGTACCTATTGTGAATTAGACTGATCTTATAAGTTCTTTCTCAGACATGGCATTACTTGGGTATACAAATTCTATTGATTTTTGTGTATTGATTTTATTATAACCTGCAAACTTTGCCAAATTCTTATAAGTTCCCATAGTCCCTTAGTGAAGTCTGTTGGCTTCCCTATTTATAGGATCATATCATCTGGAAACAGGATAGTTTGACTTCCTCCTTTCCTGTTTGTATTCCTTTGATTTCTTTTTCTTGCCTAATTGACTCTGATAAAACTTTCAGACTATGTTGAATAGTAATGTTGAAAGTAAGCATCATTATTTGGTTCCGCATCTTAGTGGCAATACTGCTCCTCTCCTTCTATACCCAAAACAACCTGAAGTCTCCTAGAACTAATTCTGGTGATTTAACTAAGAGGCAGTGTGAGAACAGTTGTGTGCCGTGGCTAAAAAGTAGGCTCTTAAATGTGCTTCCCAATGAGACATCCAGAGATATTGTGAAAAATTGACAGCAGCACTCAAATAAGTTCACGGACTACTTTAAAAGATAGTACTCATTTAAAAATCCTCATTCTGGTAGTTTTGCCTTAAGAAATTTAGTTTTTATAGTCACATGTAGTGACTCTCAAGTGGTGAATTCCCAGCTTGTATTTTTTTCTCTACTAGTTTTTAATATTCCCCAGTGATATGCTAAATCCCTAAGATTGACTTTTTTGATATTGCAAACAATGCCATCTTTCCATATTAATGATATGTTGATTGTTTGATGAAGCAATAATAAAGTTCAAATAACATTGTTACTACTGATATCAACATAATCTATTAATTTCCTGACTATTCACATTAAATGACTTTAAAGCATACACTTAACAGCAGTATGTCAGTCTGTTTTATGATTTTGGAAATTGGTGTTTAAGTTACCATATCATTAGGTGTTCATATTGGATGAGATCATTTCTTCTTGGAATAGAAAGAAGCCTCATTAAAGTAAGTGAGATCCTCTTCTACATTGGTAGGACAAAAGTTAGTTTTAATATGAATTAATCATTTTGTTTTGAATTATTTCCTTATATCTGTTATTTTATACTATTTTTACATTAGAAGGATTCAGGAATGACTAAAGATTAATTGGAATATAGTTTGTTGTTTTAGTTTAAAAGGTTTATCAAGTGAGAATACTAACCCTTCTCTTAATTTTTTTTCCAGAACCTTTGTTTCATTTTGCCACAGTTTTTATACCAGTTCTTCTGTGGATTCTCACAACAGGTTTGTGTATTTGATTTGTTTTTTGTTATAGTATAGTTTACATTTGCTGCTAATATATTTACCTTTTAGGGATTAGAGGTGTATGTCCAAAGCTAAAGGATTTCTTTTTTGCTTCAAACGGTTGATCTCCTTGGCCTTGTTTTTCACAAAAGCAAACATTTGTATCTTTACATTTTCTACTTTTCTTATTGTTTTTTTTTTCACTTTTGGAGTTGAGACGACATTAAAATGCTTTTTCATTTTTTTTTTCTTTTTTTAAGATTATTTTTATTTATTTGAATGACAGAGGTAGGGACAGAGAGAGAGGTGTTCCATCTGCTGGTTCACTCCCCAGACGACCACAGTGGCCGGAGCTGTGCCGATCCAGAGCCAGGAGCTTCTTCCAGGTCTCCCACATGGTTGCAGGGGCCCAAGGACGTAGGCCCTCTTCTACTGCTTTCCCAGGCCATAGCAGAGAGCTGGATCAGAAGAGGAGAAGCCAGTACTAGAACTGGCACCCATATGAGATGCCAGCACTTCAGGCTAGGGCTTTAAACCACTGCACACAGTGCCAGCTTGATTTTTTTTTCTTTTTTTAAAGATATATTTATTTATTTGAAATGGTTAGTGACAGAGGGAGAAAGAGAGAGACAGAGATCTTCCGTCTGCTGATTAACTTCCCAAATGGCCACAACATCCGGGGCTGAGTCAGTTGGAAACCAGGAGCCAAGAACTCCATCTGGATCTCCCGCATGGGTGGCTGGGACCAAGTTCTTGGGTCATCCTTGGCTGCTTTCCCAGACACATTAGCAGGGAGCTAGATCAGAGCTGAAGCAGAGCAGCTGGGACTTGAACCAGCACTGTAATATTGAATGCCAGCATTGCAAGCTGCTGCCTCACCTGCTGCACCACTATACTTTTTTTCTTTTTATTAATATATGCATTATGTCTCATCAATGCTATAATGTTATATTTTAATGATTTATCAAAAAATCTCATATCTTTTCAGTTTCTTACATTTATTATATAGAAAAGTGTTGATCTTGGAGTTGGCCAAGAAACTGTGATTGCTAGAAAAACACTTCCTTCTGTCTAGTTCACTACTCAAATGTCTGCAACAGCCAAGGTTGGACCAGATCAAAGCCAGGAGCCTGGAACACCATCTGGGTTTCTGACGTGTGTAGCACAGTTCCAAGCACTTGCACCCTCTTCAGCTGCTTTCCCAGGTAGATGTGCAGGCAGCTGAATTGGAACCAGAGCAGCCAGGGCTCAACCCAGTACTCTGATATGGGATATTGGTGATGCAGGCATTGGCTTGAACTGCTGCACCATAACACCAGCTCCACCATCAGGTTTCTTGTAGTCAAAATAAATAATATTAGTTACAGAGAGTTTGATAAATTCTGATCAATGAGGTTTTTTTTTAAGAATTATTTTTTTTTATTTGAAAGACAGAGTTACAGAGAGAGGTAGAGCCAGAGAGAGAGAGAAGTCTTCCATTCCACTGGTTCAGTCCCCAAATGACCACAATGTCCAGAGCTGAGCTGATCCGAAGCCAGGAGCCAGGAGCTTCTTCCAGGTCTCCCAGTGGGTGCAGGGGCCCAAGCACTTGGGCCATCTTCTACTGCTTTCCGAGGCCATAACAGAGAGCTGGATCAGAAGAGGAGCAGCCGGGACTAGAACCGGTGCCCATATGGGATGCCGGTGGTGCAGGCTGGGGCTTTATCTCACTGTGCCAGAGCGCTGGCTCCGATCAATAAGTTTTTATTGAGCATTCAAATTATTATTTTGGGGGGAGCAAAAGTTTCCTTTATTCTTTTAGAATTTTTTAATTTCTAATTAGTTTTTAGCAGATACATTATAGTTCGTAGATAAAATTCTAAGAATATAATGATATTCCTATTGATCAAAATATCTAATTATTCACTTCTTAGATGAATGAAGGTATTAAAAAGATATTTCAGAGTTTGTTAAGAAATTTGTAGCACAGTGCTAAAGGGAAATTGGTGTGATATGGTTGAAACACTGTTTTTATTTTGAAAAGAATCTGTTGTTTTGTTTTCCTTTTAAAACATGTTTTCCAAGCATAAATTGTGTGGTGGAAAGAAAAGGCATGCTTATAAAGCCAGCTGTGATTGAGACCCTAAATTCTCTAAAGGCTGCTTTGGTTATCTACCTGCTTAGATTTCTTTTTTTTTTTTTTAACTTTTATTTAATGAATATAAATTTCCAAAATACAGCTTATGGATTACAGTGACTCCCCCCCCCCATAACTTCCCTCCCACCCGCAACCCTCCCCTCTCCCACTCCCTCTCCCCTTCCATTCACATCAAGATTCATTTTCAATTCTCTTTATATACAGAAGATCAGTTTAGCATATATTAAGTAAAGATTTCAACAGTTTGAACCCACATAGAAACACAAAGTGAAAAATACTGTTTGAGTACTAGTTATAGCATTAAATCACTATGTACAGCACATTAAGGACAGAGATCCTTCATGAGGAGTAAGTGCACAGTGACTCCTGTTGTTGACTTAACAAATTGACACTCTTGTTTATGGCATCAGTAATCACCCGAGGCTCTTGTCATGAGCTGCCAAGGCTATGGAAGCCTTCTGAGTTCACCGACTCTGATCATATTTAGACAAGGCCATGGTCAGGGTGGAAGTTCTCTCCTCCCTTCAGAGACAGGTACCTCCTTCTTTGATGACCTGTTCTTTCCACTGGGATCTCACAGAGATCTTTCATTTAGGTTTTTTTTTTTTTTTCCCCAGAGTGTCTTGGCTTTCCATGCCTGAAATACTCTCATGGGCTTTTCAGCCGGATCCGCATGCCTTAAGGGCTGATTCTGAGGCCAAAGTGCTGTTTAGGACATCCGCCATTCTATGAGTCTGCTGTGTATCTCGCTTCCCATGTTGGATCGTTCTCTCCCTTTTTTATTTTATCAGTTAGTATTTGCAGACACTAGTCTTGTTTATGTGATCCCTTTGACTCTTAAACCTATCATTATGATCAATTGTGAACAAAAATTGATCACTTGGACTAGTGAGATGGCATTGGTACTTGCCACCTTGTTCGGATTGAATTGGAATTCTGGCACATTTCTAACTCCACCATTTGGGACAAGTCAGCTTGAGCATGTCCCAGATTGTACATTTCTTCCCTCTCTTATTCTCACTCTTATATTTAACAGGGATCACTTCTCAGTTAAGTTTCAACACTTAAGAATAACTATGTATTAATTACAGAATTCAACCAATAGTATTAAGTAGAACAAACAAAAAAAATACTAAAAGGGATAATGTATTAAGTTGTTCATCAACAGTCAGGGCAAGGGCTGATCAAGTTACCTGCTTAGGTTTCAATAGGAGTTGATGTTTGGCCCATTCAGTTACTCAGCTGGTAGGTTTATTCATTTGACAAATATTTCTTGAGTGCCTACTTTATGCAAGGCTAAGTGCTGAGGATGTAACTGTGATCAAAACAAACTCTCTTAATGTCTTGGAATTTGCAGTATAATGATAGAAGGATGACAGACAGAAAATAGCCACATATATATAACGTGTTGCTATGCGCTCTGAAGGAAACAAGCATAATAAAGGGATAGCATGTGACTCAGGGAAAGGGCTACTTTTTTCGAGAAGATGAACTGGCAAGTTCTTTATACTAGAACAACATTTGGGCAGAGAACTGAAGGAGCTATGCAGATATCTTTATTTTTTTAATTTTATTTAAGTTATACAAGCCTCATGTATTTCTATATACAGATTTAGGAACATAGAGACACTCCTCCCCACCTTCCCTCATGCCCATCCAAAAATTTGCCTTCTAGTTCAGATATTCTTTCTTCTGCCTCACCAAGTCTGCTGTTAAGGCTTTCCACTGCATTTTTTATTTGTTCTATTGTATTCTTCATTTCTAATATTTCATTTTGATTTCTATGTAAAATCTCAATTTCATGGGAAAAATTTTATTCATGTCATCTATGGTTTTGTTTAGTTCATGGATTTGCTTCTGAATACTTTCAAGTAATCCTAAGATTAAGTTTTTTAATTCCATTTCTAGCATTTCCTCAGTCTCTTCATCTTCATATTCTAATATTGAAATGTTGTTGTGGTCCTTTTGGGGGCTCATGGTGTCTTCCTTATTCTTATTGCTTGAATTTCTGCATTTGCTTTTAGTCATTTGTGAGTTGATTTTTGTTTTTTTTTTCTTCTGATGGCTATTATCTTTGAGCTATTCCTTTGTGACTTAATGGAATGTCTGCACTTTCATTGAAAACTAAGAGGTGAGTGGTTGGTGTGGCCAGGGGACTCTGATCAGTGCTTGGGCATGGGGTGAGTATCCAGGGTAACAACCAAGTTGGGTGTGGTAGTTCTCAGTGCCCGGGTGTTTGCTCCCAGTGTGTTCCAAGCCACCATATGAACCACACGAATCATGTGTGCAGTCTTCACTCTGACCACAGTTCCTACTGCAGTGAAATGCTGTAGGCAACCAAAGAGCTCCGAGTTTGTGGAGCTGCACCCAGTGATTGCCCAGAGACCCCACTACACCCTGCACCTTCTCATGTAACCACCAAGTCCCCAGTGTATCACCACACAAAGCTCCCACAGTCACTGGGTGCCCAGATTTTTTCTGCCCTGTCAGCCTGTCCAGTCAATAGAGAGGCAGATGTTCCCCAAGACAGCTCCACTTAGGATGTTGGTGCCTCACTGTCCCACGTGGTTGCCTAGCCATCTCCCAGCCAAACTCAAAAGACAGTGGGAACTGCAGTTTATTCCCTACACTAGAATCTCTTGATCACCTGCGTACATAAGAGCCACTGGCCGATTGTTGCTTTATCCCTGCTGCTGCGGCCAGTAATGCCGAGGAGAGGGTGTCCTGTCTCAGCCAATTGCTGTTCGAACACACAAAGTCTTCCGTAGCTCCCACCCACACCCAAAATGTTGCCCACCCTTTCTCAGCCAGGCAGCCAGCGCTACTGTGTAGAAATTGGGGCTAGATAAACGTGCCCTCTCTA